TCAGGGCAACTCTAAAAAAACTTGGGAGATTGTAAACGAAGTTGTTGGCAGTCAACCACGACAACACGTGCTACCTGATTCTATTGATGCACAAACTCTAGATAACTTTAATCATTATTTCACTAAAATTGGTCCGACGTTAGCAATGCAGTTTTCTTCCTCCACTCCTCAATGTTTTTCGCCGTCTATACCGAATACGTTTGCGGTACACAACATTAGTCTCGACGAAATTCAAAACACTACTGCTAATTTAGCCACGAATAAAGCCAGCGGGGTAGATGGGATCACAGCGCGGATAGTAAAAGACAATATTGACGTCTTAGGCCCTATCCTATGCCATATATATAACCACTCCTTGCGTACGTCAACATACCCATCCTGTCTGAAAACTGCTAAAGTAGTACCGGTGTACAAGGAGGGTGATCGCTCTGATCCCTCAAGTTACAGGCCTATATCTGTTTTAAGCATAATAAATAACATATTTGAAAGAATTCTAGCAAAACGGATGCGCGTCTTCCTAGAAAGATATCGTGTAATATGCGCTGAGCAACATGGATTTCGGGCGCACCATTCCACCGCCACTGCTGTACTATCTGTATCACAAAAGATTAACAAAGCATTAAGTAATAACCTCCTTGTAGCAGTAGTTTTTCTTGATTTAAAGAAAGCATTCGATAAAGTTGACCACGATATATTACAAATGAAATTAAGACACTACACTACGGTTTACGTGGCAAAATTTTTAACTTATTTTCTAGTTACATGAGCGAACGTCAACAAATGGTGATTATGCATGATCTCACTTCCTCCCTGTTAAATATACACACAGGGGTACCACAAGGCTCCGTTCTTGGACCCTTACTGTTTTCACTGTACGTAAACGACCTACCAAACATATTGACATCGGCGGAGATGCTAATGTACGCTGATGATACAGCCGTTATTGTTACTGCAGACAGTATAAGGGATCTCGAGCATAAATGTAATGCAGAACTAAAAAATGTTTGTCAGTGGTTTATAGCGAACAAACTAACACTGAATGCAAAGAAAACTAAATACACTATTTTCCACTCCCGTTATCGAGATATAAGTAATGAGTCCATTTGCATTACAATAAATAACTGCGTGCTTGAGAAGACGAAAGAATTCAAATATCTGGGTGTAATTCTCGATAGCCAGCTAAACTGGCAAAGCCTCATTAACTCTGTATGCGCTAAACTGGGATCTGGATGCAGTACATTATTAACCGCTAGAAATTATTTTAAAAGTAGTATTCTTTGAATTCTCTATTTCACATTTTTTCATTGTCACCTAACATATTGCATAGATTCATGGGGATGGACTTTTAAAACATATCTAGAACCCTTACGTATACTACAAAAGTGAGCACTTCGAATAATAAACAATGCTAGATATGATCAACACAGTGCGCCATTGTTTCGTAATATGGAAATCATACCATTCGATAAAATACGACAGCAAAAAATTGCGCTTACCGTCCATAATGTCATTTCTTATAACCTGCCCTTTCATATATCAATATTTTCATCCTCTTGCCGCCTTACCAGACGTGCCACATTACATAATTTCAATCTTCTGCCTACTAACAATGTTTATGGCAAACGATTGCTACAATTTGCTGGAGTAAAGGTCTGGAATGATATACCATGCCAAATAAAAGAAAGCAAAAGTTTTGCCTGTGCTCTTAAAAAATACTTTCTGCAGAAAAATGAACAGGTACACTAACACACACTTCGTTGTAATCTCCACTTCGTTATATATAGATTATTTGTCTAACAAATCATACTTGACATGGTATACGTACTTTTATGTATTTGATGTATTTTATACATACAATCCATTGTTTGCATGGAACAATGCTGCAAGATACTGCAAATGACTTATCACAAATATGTTTCCTTCTTATATTTTGTTTCGATTTTTTTCCTTTTTTTCTTGTATGATTGAAGTGTACTTATAAAATATCTGCTTTGTTAACACAATCTGTTCCTTTAAATGCATATTTATTTAGACCCCCTACTAGCCAGTGGCTATGGGTCTAACCAGTGTTGTGTATTTTCATGTAATAAGAGAACTTGAAATAAAATAAAATGAAAAAAAAAATGTAGAGAACTAATTAGAAAGTGCATAAAAAATATGTAATACACGTGAAAAAGTCCATATTTTTCCTACCCTAGTAAAGGTTTGCATAGAATTTTTTATATAGTAGAAATATTGACATTTAAACAATATGATTGCATTTCTCATACTTTGAAAAAAATTTGGGCAAAGCTTCTTGTAGATCTGAGCACCATAAGTACCTAAGAAAGGAGGGGCACATTGAAAAAAAAAAAAGGCAAAGTTTATGGTTGAGAAAAACGAGTTTTCAAATTATAATAAATGGTCATTAAAATTGAATGACCACTGTCTCTAATATGCGCTAGCACCGTAAGTTTGTACCTCACGGCTCTTTCGAGCTGATCACAGACATTTCACCCACAGGCAAGCACCATGGAACGCTTGCCAAGCTTCATCCACTTCATCTGGCAAAGCTTTGTGCAGACTGCAAGCTAGAGAGAAGTTTGACAGGACTTCGAAATCTGAACAAAGTCCAGTGTCATGGGACACAACAGTGCAGATGCCATTGTGGCTCCTGTGGCCGCGTTTGTGCCATACACCAGCGTACATAACAGCAATGTCATCTCTGCTAACTTCCCTCACTGTGAGCTCCCTCGAAAGATTGGCACAGAGGGCATCTGTTGCCGCATCATGGACTTTCCGGCTGATGGCTGTGAATTGCTCATGATGCATTGGCTTTTTCAAGCCAAGAATTGCCGCAAATCGAACCAGGTGCTCGTAGCCCATTCCCACAGAGCGCGCTGCCACAACAGCTTTCATGTTGACAGCATAGCTATCGTGCGAGCTTAGGCTTTCTTCATCCGTAATGAAGACAAGACACGGACCCTGCAAACAGGCTTCACAGCACATAAGCACATACAGGCGTGCAGTGGCCGATGGCAGTCCCCGACTTGTACCACGAGATTTAAAAGGCAGTCTCGAAAATGCGGTGCTCGAAAAGTGTGGCAAAAGCGTGCTTCTCTTTATTATTTCTTGTGCTGCCGCAACGCGAGAAACCGTGGTTATTTGAAGAGTGAGGCACGGCTCTTCGCCTCATTGGGTCGAAAATGGCGAGCGGTGGGGCATTATCAGCGGCAAGGTGCTCGAACACTGCACACTTTCAGCCTTTCAACAGCCACCTTGTGCTCTTTAGACGCAATTTTGAAGCATTTTTAGTTGAGTCTCAACATATATTTTTTTTTCAGAACAATAGAGGTACTAAACTTATCAAAACAAATCAAAACAAGAAGATCGGTAATTTTTTCCAAAACTCCCATTTTTCGACCCGCATCTCCCTTTAACACCTCGAGCGTGACAGGGGTATAACATGGTGTGGAAAATCCAAAGGTCACCAGAAAGGGATACACGAAAGCTAGAGCATTTAGTGAAACAAGCTATCAGAGTTCTTCAGAAAATCCATTGAAACTTGGTGATGTTAAGAGTGACTGCAGTGTCTTAGTGTCAAGCTGGGAACTGGAATGAAAGAACAGTAGATCTTGGCATTTTTCCCATTGTTGTCTTGTCCTGAATGATTGTTTCAAGTCGTATGATCTTTGCTGTGTGCATCAAGACATACTCACATGAACATTTCTTAATACTCTGCTTGCCGTCTTTGATACTACACCATTCAATGGGAGCCTGAAATAGTTTTGATTACATTTTGCGAATCCATTGAGCCAGTAGTGCAAGTCCTTGGAAACATTTACATACCAATTTAAGCAGTCCGTGCGAAGTTAGTACCCAGACTACTGAAGTTACAGAACACCAGACGCTCGAAGTTTCGGGAGCCCTCCTCTACATTGCTCTCATGATTATATCTTGGTTCTGTGATGTAAAACCCCAGATATCATATTAGGTATATGTGGCGGCACCTAGAGGTCAATCAGATAAACATAGACGGCAGCCATTGTGATCATGGCACTCTGACGGAGAGTCATAGAAAGGGGAAGCTTAGCCCGACAGCTGGTTGAAGAAGTTGAGGAGAAAAGGCATAGCTTGGGTGGCTAGCCTTAAAATGATACTAAGCAAAAGTTTTGCTATCGAGATTTTTCAGCCCATTTGAAAACTTTGTGACTAAAATGGTTTGGCTTAGTTTAATTTTCTTTTGGAAACAAGCGGAACATGATGAGTTCAGTGCATTTTTCACAAACTGTAGTGCCTCTTGTCTGCACTGTCAACCAGTACGAACAGCATTGGAAATGTGTTGTAAAGGAAAGGTTGAGAAATTGAAGTGGCTGAACTGGCAATTGTGCGCTGGCGGCACGCTCGATTGCCGTCTCGGCCATCAAACATTCAGCTCGATGCAAGCTGGTGTGTAGCTGGTGTCCTATGCCATCATAGTTAGCTACGTAGCAGCATATCACTGTAGTGCGCCTCCTCACACCTTTAATTTCCTCACTGTTGCCATTTTCCTACATGATCACAAAGCTTTGCTTTATAGCTCCAAGGTATTGCTGCACGTAAGTATTACAGCAATGTAAGGAAAGTAATTTGAGGCACTAGGCTCTCGACTGAGCTTCTAACGAGTGAAGAAGTTATTCCCAGTGGCCTTTTATTCTATCCTTTTATTTTTCTTCGTTTGCCTACCCAAAGGAAGCATACTCTGACATACGTGCAAGAGGTTTTGTGCATGCAGTCATTAATGGTACACCGTAATAACTGGAATATCGGCAGCATAAATAGGCACCGTATGCAGAGGCTAGGAAGTTAAGGTTGTGTTGCGAAATACTTTTGATGCAGAAACTGCCTTGACACCTCTGGACTTGTTCCTTAGAGAGCCTCTTGGAAGACATAAATCGAGCCTGAGTGTTTTTGAATTTTGTCACTGTAGCATTTGTTCAAGAGAGTACTTACGTTTCCCTCTCTTTCTCTTCTGTTTGAAGTTTCTCATAGTGGTGGTGGACAGCATGGACCGGGAGCGGCTACCTTTGACAAAAGAGGAGCTCTGGAAGATGCTGTCGCACGAGGTAAGCTTATGGCTCTGTTGTTGCACAGTTAGCATTATTATTAACTAAATCACTGACAATTAGGCGAGTTGGCCTTGACTTTATTTGGGATGCTCACCTCAGGACGGGGACAAGATGGACACCACTAGTGCACCTTCTGAAGATGCCTTCTGTTATTTTGTAGCAGATTTAATTTTCTATGGAATAACATAAAATGCATTGCCAATAGATTTGTAGATTTTGTCTTGAAAGAAAAATTTTGTCTCGGAAAAAAAAACAGTACTTCCAGGCAAACCCAAGAGCTACAGGGCATGGCAACTGGGTGCACTATACAGAGTTCTCCTATAGCTTTACATGGAAATTTCATGATCCTAAAAATAGTGTGGAAGGTCGCTGCCAGTATTATTGCAAGCCAAAGCACTGCCAGCCACAGGGGTTTTAAGAAATTGGCTGTATCATAATGTGCAGTTTTTATGTGCTTAGGTTTATGAAGCATATTGCGTTGGAGCACATTAATGATAAGGGACTATTGTCACGAGAGATATGTGTTCACTAATAATGCATGTGTACACCCGCCACCTTCTGTGGCAGTCCAAGAGCTGAGATGCCTTACAAGTGTACTACAGGTGAATCGGTTTATAAAACGCATGCCCCGAGGAGGAATTCTCGCCTTTTATATGAGGTCTCTCTTATAAGCAGGGTGTTGAATATTGTGCTGACGACAAGCACCACTATCATCACTAAGATTAGATCAGTGTGTTCGAATAAAGAAAAGGTCATTGGTGGGCTTCGGCACGTGGATGGCGGCTCATCCCTTTCTTAACATTTTGGTGCCGTTGAACCTGGGAGAAAGGGCCTTGGCAGGTGAGGCAGAGCGAACTGCGGGAATTTCAAATGCCTCGAGGGCTTTTGTGAGGCCGCCGTGTATAAAGCTGATGTGCGAGGCCTAACCCTACCAGTGACCCAGATCTTGAAGCATGACATTTGGACGTTGTCCGGGTATTTGTTATACGATACTTCTACAATGGATGCCATGTTGACTCTGTCTCCATTTTGTGACGTGGCCGGCCAGTGATTTTTCCCGTTTCCGACACTGGACTGGATCTTGGAGGCCCTCCTCGAAAGGCGGAGGCAAGTACGCCAGGCCGTCATGCAGGTCATCGCAAACATCGAATGTCTTCGACATTTGGATCGCCCACCAGTCTAATATTCACCGAATTTTGACTCAACAGTACGAGCTTCTCAGAGGAATTGATAAGGAGGTTGAAAACACAGTTTACATCGATAATTTAGAAGCAGAGATAGAGGAAGCTGACATTTATGAGCACAAGATTATTCTAGAAAGGATCGAAGCAGAATATAAAATTGCGGAAATTTTAAAGGCTCGCCAGGATCATTTGGCATCGATAAGGCAACAGATTAAAATGGAAGCAGGAAGAAAAGTACTCTCTGTGTTTTGATCATCACAATCTAGCCAGTACATGCTGAACAGCAAGCTTGTCGCACAAAAGCTTGGTGAGTCCACCTCATGACAATGGAGGAACATGCTGAAAGCCAAAAAACTAACGTTCCCTATACACATGCTACCATCTGGAAGAAAAGCACCAAAGAGCTACGTCAACTTGGAAACACCCCTTCCAGACATTTCGAAGCTGCGTCAACATGCAGAACTCGTGAAAGTTTCGAAAATACAGCTCCACCAACTTAGGTGTACATGGTGGAAGATACTTCCAGGATAAAGAAGTGGAAATCTTTTGGAATACTAAAAGGCAACCCACCAGATCTTGATGAATATTTCACGCCAAAAACGGCAAATTCAGTAGTTAGCAGTCCTTATGCCTGAACAAACAAATACCTGATGGAAGGAAGTCAAGGTCGTTTCACCAAGTTATGGGAAATATGAAAAGGTCAACAAGGAAACAGCTTTCTGTCATACTTACTATAACCATCGCATTTAGAGTAAGCTAGAAAAGTCAAGGTCAAAAAGGCTGTGGATGGCACTGCTTATATTTATGCAGATGCGAAATGTCAAGACCATCAAAACCACTACTGAGAAAGCCCAGACCTAGGCAAAGGAACAAAGCTGATGCTTCCAAGGTGAAGGTAGCCAAGACAAAGCAATCAAGAACATTTCTGAGGAACAGCTACGTCAAAACTTCGTGGAAGAGTCCGCATAATGAATCTTTCTGCCAACGAAAACCTATCTCTGAAAGTACAAGTTCACAGACGGAGACTTTTTCGAAGGCACGAGCATGGAACGAGCGTGAGAAGCATCGATGAAAGATCAAGTGCAAGAGGAGACTCGAATGGCTCCACAAGCTGTGAATTGGAACTCGTAGGAATACGGTCAAACAATCAATGTGCATGGCTAAACTCCCTGTCCTTTTGTTTTTTTCTCCTCCTCCTCATTAGCGCACACTTACACAACCCGTGTGTTGAGTGTGCTTCATCGTCAGGCACCACTGTGGGGGAGTGGAAGATGTTTAATATTGTGTAGACGTCGAATGCCACTATCATCATTAAGATCAGATGAGTGTGCTTGAATAAAAAAAGAGGTCATTGGTGGGCTTCGTCATGGGGATAACGGCTTGTCCCTTTCTGAACACAGGGCACCACATTTGCATCTTCTTGTCAACCTCTGTTTTTATGTAGGTCCACCAGTGTCTCTTATTCCCAGTTGCCTCTCACAAAGAGATTTGGCTGTAGTAGGCTTTCGGAGCAGTTTTTCATGTGGCTGTGGTGAGATGAGCTCTTGAAGGCAGTAAAATATGCATGCATTTCTTTTCCAGCTAGTTTCACAGCTTTTATGGAACTCCTTCTACAGTTTCAGCACGACCATGAGTGCAGCGTCACTCAGATTTAATATCAGTGTTGCCCAATCTTGTAACATACCCTGTGTTCTTGTTTGCAGGACCTGACCAAGGCGGCAGTGCTCATATTTGCCAACAAGCAGGACATCAAGGGCTGCATGACGCCGCGAGAGATCTCCGAGCAGCTCAACCTGACCTCCATCAAGAAGAACCGGTGGCAGATTCAAGCTTGCTGTGCACTGACAGGCGAAGGGTCAGTTTTACTTGTGCCAGCTTCGTTTATCATTCCAAAATGCATTACTTCACTTTAATTTTCTGTTCAGGAATATTTTATGAACTAAAGATGTGTAAATGTCTTGGTTGGTGCATTTTCCTTCTAAGCCTGCCCTAGATGCAAGCTTTCTTCCTGGCCCTGGCTTCATGAATTCTCTGGCCAAACTAAATTTGTCACTCTCTGTATGAAAGTAAAAGCTGCATGTTGTGTATTTTGCTGCTTCCTGCAGAGGCTGAAGCAGAATAATTTATTGAACGAATGGGTAATGCAAATTATCCTGTATTTATCGAATCTAGGCAGACCCACTTCTTAAAAGCACTCGATCAAAGTTCCCTGGTTGTACTCTCGCGCTGCAGCCCCTCCAGCGACGCACATTTTTTTCGTCCACTCCAAAGTCCTGCTCGGCTTGAACGTCGGACCATAACTCTCTAGCTAGGACAACTTTACCTTTATAAGCAGCACTATAATGAGACTGCCTGTTCGGCGCCGTTATGCTACGCCACTCACAGACACTTGCACAAAGATAAAAAATGTTGGCCTCACGTGTTCACTTGAGCCAGGTGTTCGCATGGCTACTCACGGCTGGTGGCGCTAGTAGTGCACCACTTTTCTAAGTGAAAAATGGCGCATTTTTCAGAATCCTCGAATCTAATCCAGCCCTGGAGTTTGGTGCAAAGAAATTTACAGTAAAAAAAAAAAAGAACTAGCCTATATTCAAATAAATAAGGTAGCTCCTTCTTATGGGCAGCCAGCATAGAGACCCTGTATCCAACACTAGTGTCATAATACACTCTAGCGGGCAGGACAAACACCATCTAGTGGAAAGTGCTCATTTTGTGACATCTAGTTCGGTGGTCACATCGAGGCATTGAGTTGCATCTGATCTGAACTTGCCGTAAAAACCGGAATACAGGTCGAATTTGTTGAAGGAGCACTGACATCAAGTTTCAAGATCGAGATGTGCCCATCATTCGATCGCTTGGTATGCATAGGTCTTCTTGGCCAAATTTTAACGGCATCCGTCGCGTGAAAGTTATTTTAATTTGATGTCAAACAGCGTAGAAAAGCTAAGGAGAAAAAAACGGAGAATAGACTGCCCTGCGACATCGACACTAGTGCTACGTGTTTGGTGTGATACATTCCACAAATACCATTTTGAGTGACAATGCCGTAGTAGCGATGACGTGTACGATCTGAGTGTTCTTATCGTGGCGCCGACTGGTGCTAAAGTGCAGAAACGCACTCGCCCATCGCGTCTGATCTTCGTCTCACCGGTTTGAATGATTTCATGAAATAAAACCATTTTTCATGAAATAAAACCAAATAAAACCAAGATAAAAACCATTTTTAAAAGAATGGCAAAAGAAAAGAGCATGATTAAACGTGTGCTTGTCGGTCAGCAAGCCAGTGAATCGTTTTGAGTTGCAGTTGTCTAGTTCGAAGCACGGTTAAGGGCAAAGAGGGTGTCTTTTCATATCACGTATGCGTTACACATCGACACGACCACAAGCTATCAAAAGTGGAACAGTGTATAGTCAGACATCATCGCTAACAAGTAGCACGCAGGTATCGTTAAATTTTAGTTAATCTGTAGACTTTGCGTCCTGGTAAAAGTGGTAATACCGTGTTAACCGCGAGAGGCTGGGTAGGTGGGGCCATCTGGAGGCACAAAAAAGAACCTGGCAAGCAGGAAACATATTCTATTCCTGCGCTGATGCTCATTCGCGATAGCTATAGTGCATTGACCCCTCTGCGTATACATGAATGCTTTGCACGCCAAAACACACCAATATAGCTAACTGAGACACATGAGCGAACATGGCTGCAGCGTGCAACTTCCGGCACCTCTTTAGTGCTGCTTGGAATGGCGTCCATTTCGGAATCACTGTTGTGCAAAATGTCGATCGAAGCAAAATTTATTCGCGACGTCGCGAATCGCGGGGATTTCAAGCTCCAGACTATCGTATTGAACCCAAGTCGACACTTTGTACGGCGACGACAGCAATGCAGGTGACAAGGCATGACTGAATGTGTCTGCTTAGCAGATGAAATGTTTGCGGAGCAGCTGAGTTTGACTTCACTCTTTTCTGTGGAGAAGTGGTCAGCTGTGGCGTGATCTGGAGGTGGCCGCGAGGTAGCGCCACTGCTGGTGCTCCCAGCGCTAAAAATGGCGGGATTGCCGGCCGTTTTGAATAGTGCTAGATACCAGTGATATAAATCAATAGAAATGATAGTTATTCATCCCTCAGTTGCGTTTTAGGTCGCGTATCGCTGCTATGGGGCCTATAGCTACTCGCTGACGCAAAAATCTTTGCATGAGTAAATTGGATGTCGGTGCTCCTTAAAAAAAAAGAACGCAATGAAAAGTCAATCCTCGTCTTATATACTGGTCATTGGCAGAAAAAAATGTGGAAGTTTTGCAACAATAGGCAGTTGAAGTCGAAGGCCTCCATTGCCATCGTGAGCATTAGCAGCGGCGCCATTGGGCAAGGCTAGGCAAGGCATACAGTGTTTAAGCAAAGCCATTTTGCCTTGGTTATCAGTAGTCGGTATGATATTTTCTTTATTCATTTTCTCAGAAATTAGTGGTAGTTGACGACAATTTGCGAGAGGCTTTAAGAAAAAAAAGTTATCAGAGTATGCCGAAGCGCACGGCAACCTGGCGGCACAACGGGAATTCCATGCATCGGAGAAAAGCATCCGATATTGGAGGAGCTAAAAGCAGCACATCACATCCTGCAGCAATCAAAGAAGGCATAATTTTGTGGACAGACTGCAGTGCACCCTAAACTGGAAATGTTACTTACCGAATTCGTCCGAGAGCTGCGTGCAAGGTTGCTACCCGAAACAGCGAAGTGCATCCGTGTGAAATCTCTCGATATAGTGCGCGACTCTGGGCTCACGAGGGTGCAATTCAAGGGATCGCCATCGTGGGTGTGCCGATTTATGAAGCGGAAGGAGTTTGCGCTGAGGCGGTGTCATTTTGTTTTTCCGCAAATCCTGTATCAGTAACGCTTTGGATGGAACGAAGGACGATGCACTCTGGGACGTTACTAGTGAAAAACAAACGTTGTCGGACACAAGTTCGGACTAGTCTTAGTGACGGCACTTTCTGGCCTTCTGGCGTTTAACTACATATGATTAGTGTCCAAATAAAAAGAAATGTCACCACAGTGCAGCTGGTTGTGTCGTGCATTAGGTAAGTATGAGCCACGATACTTCGCGATCTTTAGAAATTTCTTTTTTAGAGGTTCAAAGTTCGGGGGCTCGACCTATATTCTCGTCCGACCTATATTTCGGTTTATATGGTAGTTGTGTGTCTGCTCTTCAAGTGGTGCACGTGCACATTTTGATGACTGTAAACAGTACTTGGCTAGGCATAGGGAGTATTAAAAAGCATTCGTGCAGGTGCGCTTTTGTTGACATTCAAATGCATATGGTCATTTTGGTTGTGCCAGGTGATATCAGCACATTCATTTGCATGCTGGTTCCTTACATAGGAAGCGTCATTAAACCAGCACTGGCACGAAGAAAACTGTGGGAGCAGAAGTATAATCAATGCAAGTCATTTAAAAAGATACTGACTTCCCCACAAAGCAAGTTATGTTCTAGTGCCCAAATGCGGGGTCTGAATTCAAATCAATTCAGTATTAAATAGTGCAAAAGATAGGAAATAGCGAGCAACAAACAGAGCACTCTAGTGTGAAATCATAAGAACTTTATGAAAGCTGGACTAGTTCGTATTCATTCATATTTTGGTTGGTGAAGCATTTACATGTATGAGGGCAAATATTAAGAAAAGCAGGAGACAGTACTTGACCTGTGCATGTTGATTTGCCACTCATCTTGTCCCACCCTTTTTGCCGTTTCATTCAAGTATGCCATCTTAGGGTGATTTCAAGGGAACAAGGAATTCCCAGTCTTCTGCTTTGCATTGGGAACAAGCAGAGAGAAAATATTCAGTAGCAGTGATCGTAGACTATGTGGAGATATCCCCAACACACTGTTTTGTGCTTGCTTCCTTGCAGCCTTTACCAGGGTCTGGAATGGGTGTATTCACAGCTGAAAAACAAGAAGTGATAGCAGCTGTTTCCTTAGAAACACAAAAACTGATTACGTGCTGTGATACGACCTAAGAGGGCAGCTGCGCAGCACCAGCTGCCTCCCATCTCTTCAGTCTTCAAACATGGACGGCATGTCGAGGAACAACGGCTTGCATTCCTCTCCGAGTGCCAAGACGTGCCTCGCCTTGTGCAGAGCCGGTGGTCGTGGCTGAACTGCTGTTTCCACGACGACATAGCTTCCGTGGTGGGATTTGAGAATGCAAGAGACGCTACGGCAAGCAGGGCAGACTCAAGTGACGCAACCCTGTGACCCTGCCCGAAACCAGCGCAGGCCATGCGCCATTGCCGTGGTGCTTCGGTGTTTGTGCAAAAAGAGCGCAAGTGGATGGTGCGTTGCGTGCACGTAACTTACCGCTACATTTCCCTCATGTGTACATAAGAGGCACATCTCACTTGTTCTGACTGAGCAAAACTGTTTATGCTGCAAGTGATACTAGTGTCTGGTCCTAGGATTTCCTCGTGCTGCAGGCGTAGCGTGCAATGTAGCAAGCTCTGTTGCAACATGCATGCGCATCTGTGCTGCTAATTCTAGGTTATTTTTTAATTATTTCACTTAACATTTTATGGCCTTTTTTTATAATGTGCTTATAGTTCGCATATGACTGCTGTTTGATTGCTTATTTGCTTTTGCCCTGTTGTAAGTAGAAGCAGCATTATTTACCCATTTGGGTGGCGACATTTAGACTGGCTCATCAGGCAACTGCACTAACCTTGTTGTGTGCAGTCCTGTTGTACATAGTCATTTTTAATAAGCGTACTTCACTCAGCATTCGTTTTTTAAAATGTTAACTGCCTGTTTCTGTACCTCATCAGCTTTGTTTTGCAAAGCAGACATCTATAGTATTTGAACAGTAATTAATGGGAGTCATAAATAAAAATTGATCCTGACATGCAAGCCTGCTATGATTTGCATTTTTCAATAGCGCCATCACAGTTTCATCTTGGTGGTGTTCTCGATGTACAGAAACTAAGATAAATTCTGTCATAGTTTTTGTTTTCATATGGCACATGTGTGGTTATATATTGTATGTACAGGCATGTTTTTTTTTTTTCTCTCGTGACACATCAAGACATACCCGGACATGCTCATGTGTCAGTGCTTACAGATTCGTGTGCATTGCATCAATGTTTTACCTTTCCATCATTTATAGACCTGTGAAGTTTTGTGAGTAGGTAGGGGTGCAGCACGCCGGTTTGCTATAACATAAAATCTTTTCTGCTCTGTAATGGTCTTGCATTTTTTTGTTTAAGTATGCTTTCAGCATATATTCAGCCACTTGATCATATGCCACATTTTGTCACGTACAAGGGTTATGCTATGAAGCTTCTGTCTCTTCAAAATATTTTCTATCTTGGCTGAAGGGAGTGCAGTAGCATGATGGAAGGCTTCAGTTGTAGACGAATGACTTGAAAGAAAAAAAAAACCTCAAAACTGAAGTACCATATCTGCATCTTGGAAATTTTTGGACAGGGAATTTTGATGTTTTCACAAGGGGAGTTGTTCAGTCAGTGCAGCAAAATTGTCTTGTTTAGACACCTTGAAATCCTGTGCAAGCGCTCGTCTTTGCTGAAGGATAGTCCAACAAGATTTTCGGGGCGGGGGGGTTGCTTGGTCGCACATCAGATTTCGAGATAGCGGTGGAAAAGCCGCTAAGAATAAAGAATGCACAAGCGTGCCTCCAATGGAATCTTTTATTGAATATGCATGCATTCACTGTTGTCATTTGCATTCATCAAGCAAATGAAAACAGTGAATGAAGCAGTAAATATGGCAGCGGGGCACTTGCTCGGTCATTGGCGCATATTTCAGATCTCTCTAAAGAAGGGGGGGGGGGGGGGTGCTTGTTTGGGATATTATGGTAAGTATATGTGACACTTGTGGTTGACTGAGAGAGACTGACACAAAGGAAAAACAGGGAGTCTATCCTACACATGGGAAAGGAGGAATATTAGAAACAATAGGGAAGAAAGAGCAAGAGTAACAAAAACTAAAAATAAACGGTTAGTTTGAACACTCGCTACACGAATTCACACCGATATTCACAGGCGCACGTCAAGTCCAATCTTCTTCAAGTAGCACAATAGGGCCTTCGTGGCCTTGTACACGCACAACACCATGGGCCAAGATCCAAGGATTTTCCTTACTGATAGTGGTCTTGCATCAAGATGATAAAGTTTGGCTTCTAGATGACATCATTGAGTCATGTAGGATGGGCAGTGGTTAAGCAAAACTTGTGAAGTTGGAAAAGCAAGTAGGTGCGAGTGAAACTGCATCAGCGTACATGACTTAACGAGTCACTGCTTCAACTCGTGTGCCGAGCTGTTGTGATGCTCTCCTGTGTCGTTCAAATGAGAAATGTGCAGTGCAATGGATAGCTGCACATTTATGTTGCGTGCCAAAAATTTACCGTTACAAGGAAAGCGTTCAGACACAGGTATAGTTAAAACTTCGATAAAACAAAGTTGGTAAAATCTGCATTTTACTTCTTTATATTACAAATATATTGTTATGAGAAGGAGAACGACTCGGAGGGATAGTCACCGATGTATTTAAAGCTGGTTAAGCGAGCAGCGCCAGGCACACAGATTAGCTCGTGCCAGTCTATCTGCTTTGTCTTCTTCAACTCCATGCACTGGCACGTAAGCATGACCCCCGGCGGCGGAGGCACCATCCCGGTGCTTTAAAGGTCGTTATCTGATGCATTCTTGTAGGGCTTGATCCGCGAGACGTGTACAATATCACTGGACCGCATAGTAGATGATGATGGATAGATGGGGCTGATCTCGTAGGTGACAAGTGTTACTTGACGCATTATACGGTACGGTCTCGTGTAATGAGACAAGTTTTTCTGATAGGCCCAGCTGACAATGAGGGGACCGGAGTAAAACGAGGGTACCGGGAGCGAAATGTACGTCTCTATGTTTCGCATCGTACTGACGGCATTGGTTGGTCTGCGACGCTATCAGCCGAGCGCGAGCGAGCTGACGGGGGCATGATCGGCTCGCGCAATCGCATTGCGGGCATACTCGCTGGTGGACGAGGTGTGAGCTGAGATGACTGTGTCCAGTGGTGAAGTCATCTCTCTTCCGTACAATAAGTAGAACGGCGAAAAGCCCGCTGTGTCGTGACGGGATGAATTATACGCGAATGTTGCGTAGGGTAAGGCAAGGTCCCAGTCTCGGTGGTCGGGTGACACGTACATAGCGAGCATATTTGTTAAAGTGCGGTTAAATCGTTCCGTGAGGCCGTTTGTTTGAGGGTGGTAAGTGGTTGTCAGTGTGTGTTGCGTTGAACAAGAACGCAGAATGTCGGCGATGACTTGGGATAGAAATGTACGGCCACGGTCTGTGAGAAGCTGTCTCGGAGCACCGTGAATCAATATAACGTGCCGTAACAAGAAGTCAGCGACGTCGGTTGCACAGCTGGTCGGTAGAGCTCGCGTAATAGCGTAGCGTGTAGCGTAGTCTGTAATAATGGCTATCCATTTGTTTCCCAATGTTGATGTGGGAAAAGGACCAAGCAGGTCTAACCCAACACGGTAAAATGGATCCGCGGGTATGTCAATTGGTTGAAGATGGCCAGCGGGTAGCAGCGACGGTGTTTTACGACGTTGGCATAGGTCACACGTGGCAACGTATCGGCGTACCAAACGAGCATGGCCTGGCCAGAAGAAACGGCGCCGGATACGCTCGTACGTGCGGGTGTCCAGTCGTGGGAGCGTCGTGAAGTTCGGTGAGAACACAGCGGCGCAAATGCTTAGGCACAACAATGAGAAGGTCGGGCCCATCTGGTCGGAAATTGCGACGGTATAGCACACCCTTTTGAATGACAAAGTAGTGGACGGAAGCATCATTTGTGGAGGATTCCATACGGCTGATGATGTCAAGCAGCTCTGGATCACGCTTCTGTTCTTCCCCAATATTAAGGAAGTCGGACACTGACAAGATAGAGTTTTCTGTGGGCTTGTCAGTGTCCTCAGGATCGTCGGCAGGGTACCGGGAGAGGCAATCGGCATCATGGTGTAGGTGGCCAGACTTGTAGACCACCGAATAGGAAAACTCTTGCAGGCGCAAAGCCCAGCGACCAAGGCGGCCTGATGGATCTTTCAGAGAGTTGAGCCAGCAGAGTGCGTGGTGGTCGGTAACTACCGAAAATTGGCGTCCGTATAGATAAGGTCGAAATTTCGCCACCGCCCATACAAGAGCCAAGCACGCGCGCTCTGTTATCGAATAGTTACGTTCAGGGGCGGATAAGAGGCGGCTGGCATATGCAATAACGCAATCATGGCCATGTTGTTTCTGAGCCAGGACTGCACCAATGCCATGCCCACTTGCATCTGTACGGATTTCCGTAGGGGCAGCAGGGTTGAAGTGTGCCAGAATCGGAGGGGTTGTGAGAAGAGCGACGAGAGTCGAGTACGCAGAAGCCTCTTCGGAGCCCCATGAAAACGGGACTTCTTTCTTGAGGAGCTGCATAAGCGGCCTCGCTATGTGCGCAAAATTTTTCACGAAGCGTCGGAAGCAGGAGCATAGTCCGATAAAGCTGCGTACATCCTTCGCAGATCGTGGTACAGGAAAGTTTTTGACGGCGCTGATTTTTGCCGGGTCTGGTTGTACACCGTTGGCGTCTACTAAATGGCCAAGCACTGTGATTTGATGGCGTCCAAAGTGACATTTGGACGAGTTGAGCTGCAGGCCAGCGCGACGGAAGATTCCCAAGATGGCTGAGAGGTGCTCTATGTGAGTTTCAAATGTTGGTGAAAAGACGATGACGTCGTCCAAGTAGCACAAACAGGTAGACCATTTGAATCCTCTGAGCAGGGAGTCCATCATTCGTTCGAAGGTGGCTGGAGCGTTACAAAGGCTGAAGGGCATGACCTTGAACTGATATAGGCCATCGGGGGTGATGAATGCTGTTTTTTCACGGTCCATTTCATCTACCTCTATCTGCCAGTAGCCGGAACGAATGTCTATGGAGGAAAAATAGTGGGACCCATAGAGGCAATCAAGCGCATCATCTATTCGTGGCAGAGGGTAGACGTCTTTTTTGGTGATTTTGTTTAGGTGTCGATAATCCACGCAGAAACGCCGTGCACCGTCTTTCTTGCAGAATAGCACTATAGGAGAAGCCCAAGGACTGCAGGATGGCTCAATGATGTCCTTGGTGAGCATTTTGTCGACCTCACTTTGGATGATGTGACGCTCGGCCGCCGACACCCGATATGGACGCCTATGAATAGGATGCTCATTACCAGTGTTTATGCGGTGGCTCATACCGGTAGCTTTCCCCAATGGACGGCCGCTGATGTCAAAAACGTCGATGTAGGACAGCAGAATCCGGTGGAGCTCATCAGTCTGCTGCGGCGTTAAGTTGGAAGCGATCATCGAAGTAATAGCGTTGTCGAAGCAAGTGGCAGATTGATGTTGAGCGTGGGGGTCAGAAGGGGCGGCCATCGCGAAAACATCTACCGCATTGTCTTCTAAGGTGCAGAGCAACGCCAAAGAGATCCCTTGTGGCAAAACTTGAGGTGTCAAGCTAAAGTTGACAACTGGGAGGCACGTAGAATTTCCTGCGACGGACAGAATGGTGTGCGGTAATGTAATGCCACGGCTTATGAGGACATCGGTGATAGGGGTTAGAACATAGTCACCGTTCGAAACTGGTGGTATCGAGACGAGCTCTATGTAGGTCAGTGTCTGTGGAGGGAAGCGCGCGTGTCTCGTTGTGCAGAGGCGACTCGGCCGTTGTGTAAGGGGTTCTGTTGCGGGCAAGTGTAGACGGAGCGTACTGGTCGAACAGTCTATGAGGGCAGAATGCGCGGACAGGAAGTCGACGCCTAAGATTACGTCATGGGGGCATTTATCAAGGACAGTGAAGAGAACAACTGTGTGTCGATCCGCGTCGATCCGCAATGCTCACACGAGCGGAGCACATTCCAACGATAGATGCTATTCCACCATCCGCAACACGGACGAACTGAGTAGTCTCAGGTGTGAGAACCTTCTTGAGCTTGCGGCGAAAATCACTCGTCATCACGAAAAGTTGGGCGCCGGTGTCGACAAGAGCAGTGACATGTGCGCCGTCTACTTGTAAGTCTATGAGGTTCCGTTTTGTCGGTATCGTCAAAAGAGGATTTTCGGTCAGTCCGAGCGATGCAGCGCCACCTCCGGGGGCTGCAACGCTTAGTTTTCCGTTGGGGAACCTCGTGGGAAGGCGGGGGAAGATG